GTTGTCAAAACTGGGCAGGGTTGGGAAGGATGAGAGCAGTACTGCTGGCATCTTGGGGCACAGAGACTAGAGGTGCTAGTAGAGATCCCACCCCACTGCACTGACCCTGGGACAAGAAGGGTCTGACCAGAAATGTCAGTAGTGTCAATGCAGAGAAACCTATGTATAGCATGTGGTAATTGCTGTATTCAAAACAACTACCACGTTTTTAGTGTTTTCTGAGCCTGGCCCTGTTCTGTGGTCAGGGTATACATATATTACTATTGCTCCTGGCTAGGTTTAGGGGTCTGAGAAGGCTGAGTTGCACCCTGAGGTCAGGTAGAAGGTGGTATGTGCAACCACTTACCACTTGGAGGTAACAGTTAGGGACATCTGGGGAAATGCAGGCTGCTCATGATGGTGAAAGCTAGAAGGTGAGGAAGCAAGAAACTCAAGAAGAGGCTACGGAAATTGGAGAGTGGAAGCTGGAAAATGGATGGCGGTGTACAACATTCTGAGGCACTTAGTTTTTGTTTAAAGGCTGTTCTAAACCAAAAGTGGGATTTAGGTTGGGAAGTTACACGTTTGGGTTTGTCTTTTCGGGAAGAGTTCTTCAGTGGTTTTAAGGGAAACTAATTGGCAGGAGGCAACTGGAGATAAGTTGATTAGGAGGCCCTTGCAGCCATGTCATGTAAGGATTGAGCCAGGAAAGTGAGAGTAGGGATGGAAATACAGTTGAATTTCAGAGATATTGATGAGGTAAAATGGTTGGGGCACTGAAGATGGAAGGAGTTAGGATCAGGTCATTGATTACGGACTAGGGCAAGCATAGATAAAGCACATATGCCCTTTCCCCAAAGCGAGGTATGTAAGTTTTGTCAGCAGTAACTGCTTCTAGCTTCAAGCCCAGCAAATGGGGGGATGTCTGTCTTTTCCCTCAGCTCTGGACAAAACCTATGGTCTGAAAGTTAAGCCAGCCATTGCAACACATTGGCACACAATGGAGGAGAGAAGACAGGGTTTCTGCAATAAAATCTTACTAAAAGGGGAGAGAGTGGACATACTCCATAGATACTGTTGAATGAGAATTGCAAGACTCCTGCCTGCTCACTGTGGCGTGAACTCCGCGGCTGGCCAGATTACTGCTTTTGGTTCTGTTCTTTGCAAAGATCTCTGTTGTCCATTGTCCTTTTTGGCTCCTCTGGAATGGGTGTCTAAGTCATATTTCAGCTCAGGTGTCACCTCCTCAGAGAGCTTTTCTTTGACGTCTGGGAAGAAAGCAGGCATCCAGTTTTTAATCACCTTGTTGGAGCTAGGGACAGGGCATGTGTGAGTTATCTGCAGCATTCAGTTCATTTCTGTCTTGCACTTTTTGTGCCCCCTTACGCTGGAATGTAAGGTCAGGAGTTAAGGAGGGGCCTTGGCTGATGTGTTCACTCTGAATCTCTAATGTTTGGAATGGTATTTCAGTATATTTTTTGAAAGAATGAAGAAATGAATGAGAGAGAATAAAATGCTGAAGGAGGACCCGGTTTTAAAAAATTTTTTTGTCTGTCTTTTGGTGGGAAAGAGGATGTTGAATTCAGTTTTGGATATGAGTTTTAGAAATATTAATACTAAATATAGACAGGAACATAGGCTTGTCAATAGGCCATTAAACATGCAATAGGTACAGATGTCCAATTGGCCGTTAAACATGCAAAGTGAAGCTCAGGGAAATTTATGGTAAAGATTGCTAACATTTACTGATCTTTGCCATGTGCCAGTCTCTGTTCTTAGCACTTTACTGATCTTAGTAAAGTGGAGCCATCAATTTATGGAAGCAGAAACTGAAGCTATTGAGTAGTAATGTCCAGAGGGGATGCACGAGAATTAAATAGGGAGAGAATCCAGAGGCACAGTGGTATCTAAAAGGTGAGTCAAGAAACAGGCAGAAGATCCTGGGGAACACTTGTGTTTAAGGGACAAGAGAATAAAGTGGCCCCTCTTTGAAGAAGGAACTAGACAGCGGGAGGGTTGGGTGAGGGAAATCTGGGAGAGCCTGGGGTCTCTGAATCCTGGGAAGCGGTTCAAGGAGGAGGGATTCCCGGATGTCTCAGAGATCGGAAAAGTGGCTGTGGTCTTCCACATCAAAGAAATGATGTTGGGAAGAGCTGTTTCAGGAAACCTTGGGGAGAGGAAATAGGTTGAGGGTTTGAGAATTTCAGGTTGCAGTCGGGAAGGAGCTAGCAGAGAGGGAGAGTTTGAAAATGCGTTGGAGGGAGAACATTGGTGCTGCGTGACTTCTGGGGGCTGGGAGTTGATGCACTGGAGTGTTTGGTGGAAGGATGTTCTCAGACATAGCTTTTAGTTTTATTTTTTTTTTTTCCTGTAGAACCTTCTGATTTCCTTGTTCTGTAATTTTCCAAGGGATCAAGAGGTGATAGAACTGTACAGGCTGCACGTTGCTTCCCTGGTTCACTGCCAGTGAAAGGGCTGGGGACAGTAGGGCCTTGTCAGCTGCAGCCACTGACTCAGCAGCCATCAGCACAAGGACAGAGGTTCTGCTGCGTTCTTTACTTTACCTTCTCTCACTGGCATCAGCTGTTAGTTTTGCGTTTTTCCAAGTTACCTTGACTTCCTTCCCATAGTTGCATTTTCACTAATTTCCCCTAAGCCTAGAAATCTGGTGGCACAAAAGCCATCTTTCGCCAAGTGGTCAGGCTCTCAGCAGTTGAGATAACTCAGTAATATCTGAAACCACACATTTAATAAAGAAAATCTAAATTATATATGCCTCTGATGAAATTGAAACTGCATCAACTTTTGTTTTTTTCTAGTGACAGGAATTGGCTTTCAGATTGGGAAGGTAAAGCTAGTGTTTTTAGAACATGCCGTCCAAATATAAAGTGCATCTCAGTTTCCAGATATGTGGATTCTGAAAATTTTTATCTTGCTTTAGATTTTATGAATTTGTATCTCTTTTTAACATACCCATAGACAATGGAACCAGGTAATATAGAGCGAATACTTAAAAACAAGTACTTTTGTCACATTTGAAAGAAAATACATTTTATGGAAATAATTAAAAAAGAAAATCAACTGACTTGGTTATTTGAACATAGTTTCCCATAATTGTTATTATATACTCTGAAGCCTACGATGTTATCTCATTTGATAGTCTGTTTAAAAAATGTGAATGAATTATGGTAGCATTGGAAAAATTTACAAAAATAGTTTTCTGTAGGTTTTTATTTTATAACTAGCCTCCTCCATCAAAGATAATAGTTACGCTTTCAGTGAAGTGAAGAATAGTCAAGGAAGTGATCTTAACTAGACATTTGATTCTTGCTGAAACAAAACTGGCTTGCAGATCTGGGAAAGGCGAGGTAGGGAAGATGGATGGTTTAGGAGGAGAGGCATATTTGTACAGTCTCCTGTAAGGGGGTAAAATTTGGAACTCAGATTTTCATTAACTCCATAGAGTTACATGACTGATAGAGAAGCACAGAGCTCCTTCAAGGATTCGACCTATTGGAATTTCTTAGCTTTTTGTTATCAAGACTTCTTTATACTCTTAAAATTTATTGAGGACTCCAAGAAGCTTAATATTTGCTATATTACAAATTAAAAGTGATACAATTAAAAAATATAAATTCATGAAAAATACCCCAAAAAATTCATTATAAATAGCGTATTTTCATGAAAAATAATATTTTATGAAATCATGAAAAAATATCATTGCTGTACATTTTTGTCAATCTCATTAACTAATCTGGCTTGGTTAAAGACAGCTAGATTCATACATGTGCTTCTGCAATGTATCATTTGGAATATTTCAGTATAAGTCATGAGAGATGAGAGTAGAAAAGACAACTTATATTTTAGTAGTAGTAAGAAAACATTTTTGAACTTATCAACTCCTGAGAGGATTTCAGGGACCTCTTGGCAGGAGCTGGGTGGGAGGGGGTCCCTGGACTATACTCTGAGAACCACTGGATGAAACTATATATATTTCTTGATGACCATTTCCTTGGTATCTTTTCTTCTGCTCCTTGGGGCCTGGTAAAATATTCTTTATGTTGACTCCTCAAATGTGTTCACTGATTTAAATTTCCTCTATAAAATTCCAGGGGAAGGAACCATCTAGTGAATCAGGCCTTCACTTCCTTTTCACAATGCCTTTCCCCTTAATTAGTCATGCTGTAAGAATCCATCTCACTCCTTTGACTCAGCCGCCATAGAGGTGCCACCAGACTCTTTTTACTATGCCTGATGACATTGTAGACTGGTTACAAATCAAGATAAGTAGTTCAGGAAAAAAATATTCCCTTTTCAGTGCAAAGAATTCTAGGAAGTCTTGGAGGTTGCTGGGAGAAAGAAACTAGAATTGTTTCCTAGAAACGGAGTGGAAAAGTCTTTGGAGAAGTTTTTGGGGGCCTAGCTGGCACATGGGACCCACTCTGCTCTCCAGGAAGCATGTGCCACATTCTAGTTCGCATTTCTGCACCAAGGCAGTGGCAGGTGTCCCGAAGAGTGAGTGGGAAGCAATCATCAGCTCTCCAAGTAACAGCATTTTCATTTGCTAAATGTTATGTTAATGTTCTCCAAACTGATGGTAGAATTATACAAACTTAGGCTGAAAATATGGATACTGTTTGTATTAAGTTTTCAGACTTTTGATAAAATGCAGGTAAATATCAAAAAGTATCATAAAAATTATACAGTAAATTTTATGTAGAACTATGTATACAACTGACAACATTTACGTTGGAAAATTTTATTTATCAGCTACGTCAGAAAAATGCCTGCATGAAAATATAGTAGCATACAAACAGTTGCTTTTGCATTTGACTTGCAAATAAATGGAAGCAACAACATTTTAAAAACAGCATGATTTTGTGTGCTTTATTTGGATGAGTAGTGGCGTTTTCTAACTGCTTGCCTCTTGGGCACATAAGTCATCATGGTACATCTTTACTAATAGACTTTGAACTTCTTTCTCTGTCCTTTTCTTCTGGGCCGTATATTGCCGCCTTTAGCGCTTCAGCATGGAAGGGATCTCAAATGTCATTCAGAATGGCCTCCGCCACACCTTTGGAAATTCAGGTGGAGAGAAACAGGTGCTCGGTTATCCTTATTTTCCTCATTCTCTGCTTTTTCATTTTCTGTGTAAGTGAAGATCCTGAAAGCTAGTAGTTTTACTAATTTACTAAGACCATTGCTTAAAAGAGAGAAATGAGAGTTCATTATAAAAGTTCATTATATTTATAGTCTTGATAATGAACAGAATTTCCCTTTGAGGAAAAAGTGTTTTTCAAATTGGACATTAGATTAAATGCATTCTTAAGACATATTTTAGAGCTCCATTTCTCAATCTTAGTTTTAAACAAATAGACATTAACATTTTAACATAATGTATTGCATGTGTAGAAAATCTGCTTATGAAAATAACTAAGCTAAAATATGTGACTCTAATTCTAAAAGTCTAAGCAAGATGTCATTTTTGGGGTAAGGCCAGTTGTTGGTAAGTTTGAGACTAGAGTTCTAGGTCAAAAATACATAGAGAGTGTATCTTACCTCCTTTAAATGAAATTCATATGTTTTTAAGGTGTATTGCCTAGTCAGCCAACTCAGTTGTCAGCCAAATGAGCCTGAGACATTATTTACACAAAATTATACACATAGATACTAATACACAATGAAGTATCTAGCAGTTTGCCTATTGACATTTTTATATAGTGATTGAAGGACTATCATGAACATGGAAAATATTCACATTAATGGGTGTGCCTAAACTTACCTTTCACTGTTTGACATTTTCACCTTAAAAAAGAAAACTAAAGTTAACTCTTCTGTGCAGATTAAGAAGGTATACAAAATGTAGCTTGTAGGAAGTTTAGCAAAAGAATGCCTAGATCAAATGCCCGGAGTTTTTCTGAAGTCATTGCTATGTGTTCCATAAATCATTGCTATTAAAGAGGGAAGTTTCACACTGACATTTGCAGCTCCATGAAGAGATGCTTGAATTTTTGTTTCCATTCTGGTGCCTCTCACCTCTCTCAACCTCACAAGAGGGCAAGGAAACTTCCAAACTGTGAGTGGAGCCGGGAGGCCTGACAACACAGCCAGGTAGCCAGAGAGCGGGCCAGGGTGCCTGACACATGCTATAAGTGAAGCCAGGAGGGCATAATTTATGGCCTTTTTTTCAAAGAAACATTCGATTATACAATTGGGCATCACCTGTGAGACGTCTACATCAGAAATATGGTGGAACACTTAGTGTCTTAAAGATTGAACGATGCAATTTTATCACTTTTCTGGACTTAGGGATCCAGTTATTGTAAAGCAGCTTTCTTTATCTTGTTTTTCAATTATAGGCAGGATAAGATCACTCAATGAGGATTAGCCATAGAGCTGAGATTTAGGGCACCAGGTTAAATAATGGGTGGAACTAAAGAGATTCCAAGTAAAAATCACTGGCTTTCTGTATGAACATATGTGAAATGCACGGAACTATCCATTTTTTTTGGTGGGATGGTAAGAATAGGAGAATCTGGATAATCATTTATGGATTATGCTTTCATGGGATTAGTTATAAGACATGGCTCTGTTACTTGTGAGCCTTTACAAGTAGTGAACTAGGCAGTTTGTCTCCATTTCAGACGTTAATTTTCACTATTCATTTCCCTTTAGGCCATTCTCTACTTTCACTTTTCTCCTTTAATACCTAAAAATGTTTATAAAGACTTATCCAGTAATTTAAAATAATAGTAATAATGCATTTCTAAAACTATTTAAGTATGTCTTTGTTAGTGTCTGAAAGAAGCTAGTGTGTGTTTTTAAGTTATCATGTTATATATGTGGCCCATTTGTTTAACCAGAATAAAAATGGTCTGAAACAGAATTATTTTGCTGTTGGAAATTACTTTATTGTACAGAACAATTAAAACTGTTTTTAGTTTAAGTTGCTATTTTTATAATGTGTTGAAAAATATGCAAGGAGAATGTGAGATAATACATCATTTTAAAAATGAACACATTGAGTAAATCATCCTCAGGCTTAGTCCTGTGAAATTTTCAGTAATTGAAATGCAAAAAAGTGGTTATTTCTGTTGACACTAGGTTTGTATCAAGCAAATAAAGATGGACCAAAAAAAAAAAAAAAAAAAAAAGAGCTCCATCTGAGATAGTAAGATACCTTTATTCCCGTACAAGACCTGTGTTTTCATTACCAGAGTTTTATATTATGAAATAGACCTTCTAGTAACAGTATCAATTTTTTTGCAGATAAGGAAATGCAAATTTAAGTGACATATTGTTTTGTTTTTTTAACTTGGCAGTATTTGACTACAGTCATTCCTTATGAGAAAAAAAATGGACCACCATCTGTTGAAGATCTTCAAATACTAACAAAAAGTGAGCAAAGACAAAATGAAACGATTACCTGATTTACTTTTGCTGATTAGTAAACACCTGACTTTAGCTGGCTGATTTTGTTGTTAGTGTTTTGTCAATTTAGGATTGTAAATGATGCATATCATTGTCGATTTTTATAAGAATGAAGCCAAAAATGGCTTTGATATTAAATACAACAGTATCTCTAGTGTTGATTTGTATTTTTTGTTTTTCTTACCTTGTGAAATATTTATGAGCTAAAATTTTGGGAAAAAGCATTATCTGAATCTTCATCCTCATATGCTTAAGAACATATCCATTTATCATAAATAAAATTCTCTATGGATCTTATATGACTGTCAATAACTGAATAGGAAAGATTTAGGGTAAACACTTATTTCTTATGAATGTAGACCCTGAGGTAGTAGTTGTAGGTAGAACACAAATTGACAGTAATGTTTTCAGAACATGTAACAGGGTGTGGTGGCTCAGGCCTGTAATTCCCAGCACTTTGGGAGGCTGAGGCAGGCAGATCAAGAGGTCAGGGGTTGGAGACCAGCCTGGCCAACATAGTGAAACCCCATCTCTACTAAAAATACAAAAATCAGCCAGGCGTGGTGGCAGGTGTCTGTAGTCCCAGCTACTTGGAAGGCTGGGGCAGGAGAATCATTGGAACCTGGGAGACGGAGGTTGTGGTGAGCCAAGATCATGTCATTGCACTCCAGCCTGGGCAACAAGAATGAAACTCTATCTCAAAAAAAAATAAAAATAAAAAAAGGCATTCATTCAGCAAATATTTGGTAAAGGCCTACTCTTTACCAGGCTATGATCTGGGCACTTGGGATACTTTAGTGAACAAAGCTGACAAAGACAATCCACCTTCAAGGGGCTTGCAGTAAAAAACAATTGTGAGATTTAAATATACATTATATTAAATTTCCCTTATGATAGCCATAAACGAGCCCTGAATTCTGAATTCTCGTTCTATCCCTGTTATTTTCAGGGATGTCCTTGGAAATTATTTATTCTCTTTTGCTCACATTGAAAAATTAGGATAAAAAGTATTTGTTCTCCTTACCTCACACTAAGTAGATTGATATGTACGTGATTTGGGCTAAGTTACTATCAATTAGCCTCATTGTCATTGCTGTTAATACGGAGGGATTGAATTGCTGATCTGTTGAAAAAGCATCACATGGATGAGTATTGATGATACTTATTTTGGAAATTCAAGGAACTTGGAGCTTTTATTCTTTCCTTTGGTGAATAATACATTAAAAAGTTTTATATTTAAATATGGATAAATCAAGTGATGCCAGCCAGTCTGAAATAAAGAATCAAGAGATTAACTGGGTAGCCAGCCCTCTTATTTTCAGGAAGAACTCATGAAGTTATGCGTGTCCAAGATCCCACAGGGGATGGTTAATTACAGAGCTGGGTCTCTTAATTCCCAGGAAACTGTACTTTTAATGATGCTGGTTTTTGGTATGTGGTTTTAATATAGAAGTTAGAAAAAAATTTAAACATGATTGGAAGCAGAAATACTGAACATGGTAGCCCTTTAAAGAAGGGAACATAAATAAATATTGCTCATAAGCCAGGAGTTACTGGCAAGCCTCAGCTTCTCAGATCAAGAACAAATACTTTGTTGGTCAAACTAATGTCATCATAATTTCAGCGTCAAGATGTCTTTATAGGTTGACACAATTTGGAATCTTTGGACATATTTGGGTCCAAAGCTCCTTTTCTTTCCAAAAGAAGAGCCCTGTGGAGACAGTCATAGTGTTTATGGATATATAGTCTTCCTCTTAAAAGCTGTTAGGGATTCTGGGTGCAATAATAATAGTAATAAAGTTTTTAAATAATATTAGTAGTGTTAGTTACAGTTAACACTTACACAGCATGTATTATGTGCCAGGCACTATAATATATGTGCCAGACCTTTATATCTGAATTAGTAGCTGAGTCCTCATAACAAACCTTTGAGATTAAATCTAATTATTCTTCTCATTGCACAGATGAAGAGCTTATGCAAAAGTGGTTAATTAGCTTTCTCAGTTTCATACAGTTAGGAAGAGGCAGAGCCAGGGTTTAAACCCAGGAAGGCTGACTTGACAGTTATGTTGCCTTGTCATATGGGTGGGGAGAAACAGTGAAGTATTTTTACCAGGATGCTCTGGAGAAAATTTGAGTTGGCTGGCTGGCTGTGATGGCTCATACCTGTAATCCCAGCATTTTGGGAGGCCGAGGTGGGTGGATCACCTGAGGTCGGGAGTTTGAGACCAGCCTGACCAACATGGAGGAAACTCCAATCTCTACTAAAAATACAGAATTATCTGGGGGTGGTGGCTCATGCCTGTAATCCCAGCTACTCAGGAGGCTGAGACAGGAGAATCACTTGAACCCAGGAGCAGGAGGTTGTGGTAAGCTGAGATCACGCCATTGCATTCCAGCCTGGGCAACAAGAGTGAAACTCCATCTCAAAAAAAAAAAAAAAAAAAAAAAAAAAAAAATTGAGTTGGCAATCTCTGTTAAAGTACAATATTTGTGAGTTTATCTTAACCTGAAGGGTCTAACTTAATAAAGAAAAACATTATACTAGGTGGCTGTGTTTTCTCTTTTAGTTTTTACTTAGAAGATAAAAGTGTCCGTTCAGGATGAGGCTAATTCACCCAGTTTCCTCCATAGTGCAGAGGAGGAGATAGCCAGGCAGATGCCACGTGCTGCTTCATGGAAGTCTGTTCTTCATTTGGGTCTTTTCTTTGAAAGTTTCCAAGGAGTCTGACAGATACGCTTGTTGGAGGGCATAGCTAACTGTCCATTTCTCCAAGAGTTTCTCTAGCTTGCTTGTTCTGTAGTACTGAGGTGCACATTACAGTAACCCACTTTCCAGTATGATTACAGAGCGAAGGCTCCCTGTAAATAACCTGATTCCTCTTTTTTTGCCTCCACTGATTGGAAATTTTAAATCAGGGAAATAACTCTCAGGTAAGTGGATATTCTTACCTAAAATAAATTCTTGTGAACATACTCCACTAAAATAAATTATTGGGACTTTACTGTTGTATTCCCTTATCAGGAAAATCACCTATAATTAGTATGAGTCAGTTATATCCTATAATTAAGGAAGATTAAGGTCACAGTGATTGAAATTAAATAATATTTTTGATCTGAATTTTTTGTTGTCTTTTTTTCCCCGCTTCTGTTTTGCAGTTCTTCGTGCCATGAAGGAGGACAGTGAAAAAGTTCCGAGCTTGTTAACTGATTATATTCTGAAAGGTGAATTTTATAATGGTATAGGTATGATGGCTGGGAAGTTTGGATTAATCAGTAAATGCATTGTCTTGCTAATAGATTAGGTAGTAACTTCCCAATGCACAACTTTCATCAGTCTTATTGTGGCAGGGTGAGGATTAGATACATGACTAACTTCTACCAACATTATATATTATGGTTTTATAAAATTTAACTTTTATTGGAGGTTCTGGGCTGGAAATAATCTCCACAGCTAAACTATAAACATTGAGGGAGGCAGTAGAAGAAAATTAGTGAGATGTTACCATCATCATGTGGGTATCAGATGCTGGCAGGTTGACATGGAAATTTGAAAAGGATGGTCTCTGTCATCTTGGGGACAGTGCAAAGGAAGGACAGATCGTTAGTGAGGACGGATGAAGGAATAGTCACATCTGTGAACAGTGCCAAAGGGAATACGAAAGGGACTGATGTAAGGCCCAGGGAGGGAAGCAGGAAATAAAAAGAATGGACTTTCCTAAGCTCAGGGCAGTGAAAAAGCGGCCACAAATCTTAGAGGCAAGATCAGGCTCACACAGGATGGGAATATTGATGAGGCAAAAGAAGGGCGAGAAGTTGAGTTACTTTGCTGAGGAAAGAGCAAAATTTGGCTGATGAAGGGACTGAGGATTTAATTAGAGGCAAAATTAATACTTTTCAATGAAATATTTTTTTAAAGTAGCAGTTATTCAGGGGCCAGAATTTGCAAGCATCACAAAATGCATCTTGTAGTGTTTGATCACATTTTGAGAGCAATCCTCTTCTAATAACAGTTTTCTTTGGGTTCTGTCTCTCCTCCATTAAAGTTAGCTGAGCACAAGGAAGATGCTTTCTGAGACATTCGAAATCTCAGATGGACTTTTCTTAAACCATAGCATCTAAAAGGGGACCCTCGGTAGTAGACACAGTGCTCAGTGAATCACACGTTTCACTTTTAAGAGTCTTAATGCGTTAAGATTAAGAAGCATGAGCTAGCCATTAGTGGGTTAACACTGGGCTACAGCAGACTGAATTAACATCATTTTAAAAAATAAGCTGTTTTTCTGATGGAGGACTTTTTCTCCCTATTAAATGCTCATTTTTTTTTTTTAATACCTGATGTCTTTGTTTGCTTTCGTGTTGTGCTAGCATTGGTATGAAAGCTGGATTGTTCTGAGGTTTGTTCTAGATGTGAAACAGGGATGAGACGAACATAAAGAACATGTCTTAAATTTTAATTTTAGCGGGTCCCTAGGGCTCTATGAGGGCCAGAGATAGAATGAGCTTGTGAAGCATGCTCTAGCTATTTTAGCATTTAACTGCTTGGAAGGATGTTATGACCCGAAGAACAGAGTCCTCTGGGGGAAATGATTTTTAATTCTCTACTCTGAAAACCTAGGACTGTAATTGTGAACCTACCTATACCGCATGCCTTAGGGAAGCAGCACCCATCTAATTCTGCTCCTCATGCTCGGGCCGCTGGCTCCTGTCTGTAAGCCCAGTTCTATCTATACTGTACCTGCTTCTGATGAGTCTGTGTGCATGTGTTGTGGTTTTGTCTTGGCTTTGTATTGTGAGGACTGGGTGGAAAAGAAGCGAGGATTCAGACTACAGTGGAGACTGTAGTCAGAGAAAACGAAGACAGGAGTGTAATACGGAGACCTATTTAAGTGTGTGGGAAGGTGCTGAGTGGGGTCATTGAAAATGCTCTTTTCCACCCATCCTGAAAGTTCACAGCTGGTTAACTGTTCCTTTTCCTTGGGGACCAGTAATTGGACACTTCCCTGGGAGGGGGATATTGCTTAAGGGGATAACGCGCCTTCCCCTTTTTTGGCTAGTTTGTTGTTGTTTTAACACAGATGAGTGTGTGGCTTGGCTGTCTAAATACACCATCTTAGTTTTAAGGAGGCAGAAAAGTGGTCTCATTTGGCCTGAGAAAGGTAGGGGTGGCCGCTGTGGGGGCTGAGCCTCTTCCACCCCTTCTTAATTGCCTGACTGCAGCTTGCTGCATTGACAGTACCCAAGGCTCATTCCGAAGCCTGGCTGCTGCCATGCTGATCCTAGTCAGGAATAAAAATGTGTGCAGAAGGGAGCCTGTTTATTGTGTCATAAGCCTCATGGTATAGGGTGAATGTTAGGGGCTTCTGTCTTCAAGTGGCACCCTAAGAGACATGGCCTTTTGCTCTCTCATTTCTAGGCAATTCTAATGTGTCTTGAGAGAACTCATCCTTGTTGGGTATAGCCTCTTAAAACCTTTAAAAAATTGCTACTATAGATCTTTGCATTAATGTTTAGTTCCCATTAGTGTTTTTAAATGTACTTGCAAAATTTACGTTTTGTGTACATGTATACAAAAGATATTTTTGTATCTAAAAGTCCTCTTTTTCTTCTAGTTCTGTGTCCTACATAAAGCAGCATTACTTCAGGAGCAGCAACTTTATCTGCGGTGGGACTCCGAGCTAGATTTCCTACAGCATTATTCTGAAAGCTGGTCACTATTACCTTCTTGCTACTGGAAACTCAGCACATTTGAACGTGGGTTTGATTCAGTATTAACAGATCTTGGCTTCACTAATTCTTTATATTATAGAACCGATGGAAATATGGGCACTATTTTGAATTCTAGAGATGGTTTTTAAATCTACTAATAATTACGAACTGTTCTTCGTAGAGACAGTAATATTAATATGCATGTGCAGTTATGTTTCTAACTGACAGTATGCCCATTTGTTTTTATGGCTTCTAATCTACACTGCACTGATGAACTAGATTACAGCCTTGGGAGATTTATGCTGCAAATTCAGTGATAGCAAGAACCAGCACTGATTTTTGTGAGAATTGTCGGTATAAATATTACCTACCAGTATTGTTCAGAGAGATTGAAATAAACTTGGGCTGTTCTGGAAGAGGCAAAACCAGAATATGCATTTCAGTGGCTTAATACTTAGTGAACATTGAAACTGTTGGTGATGATAGATTTTATAGCTTGCTGCTTGTTTTACCATTGGTAAAATTTTAACCATTACATTGCCACTTTTAGAATCTTGTATTAACTTTTGATGTTCCAATGTTCTGCTTCGTATGTCTGTGAATTGTACTTGAATAGTTTGTATCCTCTAAGGTGCTTAAAGTGTATCCTGCAGAACTGTCCAGTCCCATGACTGTCATATTTTATTCATGCCTGTGCGTTTTTCTTAAGTATGAATTCTAGAAACAGCTACTTACGGGTTCAATATCATAGGCGCTTTTGCCAGTTCCAATCAAATCAATGGCATTTAATAAATTTTTTAAAAAGTAAAAACAGTCTATGTTTGAGAGCTATATATTTGGGAGTTTGTCTTGTATTTTTTTTTTTTTTATGGTGCTAGGTTCTTTCCCTTAATTAATTCCACGCAGAGCCCATCGCTACAGTGTATGAGCAGGTGAAACCCTGATGGGTCCCAGAATGCTATGGAGGGGAGAGGACTTTTTGAGAGGATGCCGAGATGCTGTGGAATGACAGAAGTCCTGCTCTTTTTCTGGGGCTGTGAGACATTCCAAACAGCCATGTAGCCCTGTACCGTAGAAGACATGAATGAAGAGTCTATCTGGGACCTGCTACAGGAGGCTTTCCCAAGTCCGCTTAAACAGCCGTAAGCAAATAGGACTGTGTGTATTCCTCACCCTACTCAGCAACTGAGACACCATGACTACAAAGGCAGGAGCTTGAAGTCTAATGCCTGCTTGGCATTTCAGCTGTAGTCCAGGTATGAGAAACTTGAGATGGTTTCCTTGTTTTATGAATGTTCTTAGGTGGAACTTAACTGGCCCCTACCCCATCAATTGAAGATACATACTTACACAGTCATATTAACAAATTAATTTGATGTGACTTTGTAAAAATGATGTCTTGTACTGAAGAAATGTAGTTGTACAGGATATATAATACAGCAGAAAGTTTTTTGGGCATTTTTTTTTTAAAAGAAGAGATTCAACAGTGATCTGTTTATAGCTCATTCTTAAATTGATACTTCTAAAGTGTATGAAAATATACCTATTTTTTCCTACCAGCTCAAAATCCCTTTGTAGTTAGGCTTCCCCTGATTTTGCTTGGTTAAGTCTTTCTCCCTCAGCATCGAACTGCTGTCGGGTTGCCCACCACAATCCTCCTGTGCATAATAACGAGTTAGTTTTGATACTAGCTGTGAGCATGTGTCTAGTAGCAGGTAGGTTTCTTGTCTCCCTAAAAACAGCACCCCCATGCTGTGTACTCTGAGAGACACTTTACTTTTTGCAAGGATTCCTTGGGAAAGACCTGCCTAATGAGAAAAGCATGGGGACCTCTGGTGACACCAGAGGTTCACTGGACTGATGACCTTACAAGGACAGTTTGTCTTTGGGACCCCAGAGGTGGAATGTTTTTGAAAGTTACACCGTGTGATTTCAACTCAAAATGTTTATTTCCTTGCCAAGAATCAAGTTGCAAATAATTCTCTTACAGCTTTGTTTTTTGAAGAAAACAAAAACAAACTGTAGAACTATGCTGCACTCCAAGTGCCATATATCTATTTTATTCTTCAGGAAATTAGATTTGTTTTTCTTTTACAAGAGTACAACAGGAACCAAAGTAGAAGAGTAATAGATACAGCACTCAGGATAAATCATATCTTTAAAATAATAATAAAAAAATTTACACCTTGTCCTATATCCTGTTAGTATTTTCATAATATGGCCATGATTGAAAAAACAAAAAGCAAGCATCTACAATTTTTTTGATAAAGACTTTTTATGCCAGGAATGGATTAATTACCAACAAAATTTATACTAATCAGGCTGATGTCAATCTATTTTGGTAACATATCATGAACAAATTTATTTTGGAAAAAGATAAAAATATTGCCCCTTGATAATAAATCTTTTTTTCCTTTGATGCAAACAGCTAGAACACCTTTTTCTTTTTCTTTTTGATATTCTAAGACAAAAAAAAATGGTTAATCTTCAGATTAATAAATTAGGTCATTATAATAATAAATTAATTTTTTTTAAAGTTCAGCAACCTCTGTCCAAGTATTTACAACAATACTTGAAAGTTCCTTTACAAAACAGAACACATTTTCTTTTCACATTAAGCATACTGGGTATCTGTGTCTTTCACAACAAGCATTTTTAAAAGAAAACTCAATGCACAAATGGGTTAATTAGTATAAAAGTGCTAAGGGCTGTTTGAAAAGTTAACACTATAGTATACAGTCAGTTATATTTGAGGCATACTACAACAAACTTCCAGCTTATTGTGGACAATATTCCAGTAGTTGTTTCAAACCATTGTTTGAAAAAAAAAAAAAAAATCCAGGAGCTGATTAGTGATGCAGATAAGAACTGCCATCAATGTCTCTGGCCAGTGAGCAAATTGAAAACCAACTGAAAGCAAATCCAAATGAGGAAGATTTTAATAAAGGAATACCCTTCTCAACAGCAGGTGCAATGCTGACTGCTCAAGGCGTGCGTGCACACACACATACATACTCTCACACACACATTTTTGCAATTAAACTGCAGGTAGAATGAGATTTTGTGTTATTCAAAAAATTTTAAGTGATCAAAAGCATTGATATGGAATGCCTGTTTATCTGCCTTTGTTCTGGTTAAAATCTCATAAAAATACATTCAACAGGAAAACATAAATTGTATGTGTATAAATATATATGTATATATATATTATATACACATGCACACAAATACTTTTGTTTTTTGAAGCATAAGATAGTTACATAAATACTCCTATAATTGCTAAAGTTTAAAGAGGCATCTTTTCTTTTTTCAGCTTCAACAAAGGTGCTTGAATAATATACAATTAAAATGAAGTAGTTTCTATTTTGTAGACTCAGTATATAATAAGGAAAAAGAATCCCCGAATAGTCTTTTTTTAAAGTTTCTTCTTAAGCTAGAGCTTCAACAAAAACTATGAACAACCAACAATATAACAGAACAAAGCAACAACAGTGAAATACAGCCCCTGGATTTTGCCTGGTGTTCGTCACCCTCTCCCTCCTTCCTGTCACGTTGTTGTAAGAAAAGCTCCAGTGCTCACATCAAGAAATGACTTAGATCTTGCTCATGTGCTGACTCTGCTAGGAACTGGCTGATTGGCTTGGAAGAAAATAAAAGCAGCAAAAAGTATAACTGTATATATTCTTAATAACCCGCTTTCGAGAAATGTCGCTATCGCATTTCTCTGGCTTCCTCACTGCCTACTGCAGTTGTGACTGTATAGAAAAGAAACTTGTGGCTTTAGACCTGGGATGGCTGTTAAAAGGTTCTGATATGCTCGTCTGGTAGTTCTAAGGTGGTTATGGCAGCTGGGTCGCAAGGCCTTTTTTGTTTCCTGCTCATTCAGGCCTGAGCTTTGCAGCAACCAGTGCAGTCTTCAGAGCAATAGGAAAAAATACCCTCTGGGCCACTGAACTGCTTTTATGTTACCAGGTTTCTCCCCAAGCCAAGCTGACCAATTTTTCTTCCTGACACCACCCTCCCACCCATTTCCCCATCCAAACTCACTGTCCCCACCCCAAAAATCTCTACAGCTATCTTACAGGCAAATATATCTTAGCAACTTTAAAAACTTTGGTTCTAAGAAAACACTTGGTCAGTTATCTTGAGGAAAAGTGGGAATGCTTGTTCTGCACACTGCTGTAGACAGAGCCCATCCCAGTAAGGTCTTAGCGCTGTACATCAAGTCACAATCCAATACAATCCACTAAGCAAGTGCACAAATTCTAGTTTACTTTTAAGAGCAGATTTAGTTGTCTTCTGTCTTTTGGAACCTCATCCGAGTTGCCTTTCTTCACACTGTTTGGTAGAAATTGTCTGCCTGTAGATGGTTCTGTTTTTGCATGCTGTAGAAGCCACTGAATCTTGCATCTGGTTCTGCAATTCTTAGCATTCTCTGGGAACTGTCCACCTGGACTCTGGTTCCTTTCTTGCAGTCCACAGATACTAGCTGATTACTTAAGGAAGAAGGCTATTTAATGAGAGGAGAAATAAAACCACAAAGAATTAGCTGTTTTACATTATCTCAAATGAACAGAAATTTAGTACCTAATTCGAGTGAGATAACAATTTCACAACTCATTGATAGACTATATGCAGAGTATATAGTATATACACATCCTGTTCTAGTATCAACTATACTTTTATGAGGGACACCGACAAACTGTATGTAAAGGTGAAATGTCAAGAAATTATGTCAAATAGGGAGATAAAGGAACTGAAGACATACAAAAAAAGACTGGTGAAATGATTTCAAATCCTTGAAGTGCAGACCTGTGTTTAAAGGGCCTGAATGAGCGACAGGTAGGTAGATTTTTTTTTTTTTTTTTTTTGAGACAAGAGTTTCACTCTTGTTACCCAGGCTGGAGTGCAATGGCGCGATCTCGGCTCACTGCAACCTCCGCCTCCTGGGTTCAGGCAATTCTCCTGCCTCAGCCTCCTGAGTAGCTGGGATTACAGACATGCGCCACCATGCCCAGCTAATTTTTTGTATTTTTAGTAGAGACGGGGTTTCACCATGTTGACCAGTATGGTCTCGATCTCTTGACCTCGTGATCCACCCGCCTCGGCCTCCCAAAGTGCTGGGATTACAGGCTTGAGGGTAGATTTTTAAAACAAAGGGATAGAACACCCTCATAGGCTGGGCCAGCCCGTATGTTTCTAGTCATTCCATATACTTACTGAGCGGGTCTGTTGCCCAGCTTTGGACACGTAACTATCCCGACCCAGCATGTGCCCAGCATACAGGCTGTGCCCAAGGCACATTTGTTCACAGAAAAATAGAAGGCAGGATAACCGCAGGCCAGAATTTTCATATAGAAGGGTTAACCAGATGGTAAATTATATTACATAATTGTTCAGGCTGTTTCCAATTCTTAAGGTTGTATGATTAAACCAACTAAATGCAAAAGGTAGAATTATGAGTTGGGATTATGATTTATTTCCCTTAATACAGTTCTTATCTTTCAAAATAGGCATATTTAGAGGCCCTTCATTTTTGAACTGAAAACAAACATATCTTTTCTCTCTCAATATGAAATCTGCCTCTCCCTACCTTGTCTATTACTTTCCACCATCTCTTCATATTTTGTGACCTTTCCACGTTATGCTTGCCGTTGATGCATCCACCTGTCCTTTTGCCTTTTGTATATCCTCACGATCTCCCGCCCTTTGTGATTTCTTTTCTCTCCCAATTTTAAGTTGTCTGATCACTGAGAAATACCAGGTGATCAAGTTTTAATGTCTAATATAAACAATGATTTAGGAATAAAT